CGAGCGAGGACAGGGTGAATTCGGCCATTCTTTGGCATGGTCTCCCTTACAGCATTCAGTCTGGGTCCCAAAGCCTTCGGTAGTGTGATTTAAGAAAACTTAAGCAAAACAAGAACTGTGTGCTGATTGACAGCTCAGTGAGACCCAGGAGCAAAACTGCAAGCATAGTAGGTTTTCTGAGCCAGTTTGTAACACAGACGATAGGAAACGACACAAAAGCATCACTGGCCCTTTATAGAAAATAATAATATATGTCAAAGGTATGAGTTATCAAAGGAAACTGGAGGTCAAAAATAAATGAGACTCTATGAGTTGTTTTATTGCAAGTTTAATGCAAATCTATTCCTAGGTCTGTTTTGTCTAGAGATGATAGATAGATGATAGATAATAGATAGTTTGAAATTTTGTTAGAAGCACATGATTAATAAGCACTTTTATGCACTTTTTTACCACCTCTATTATTTATTATAATCTATAATAAAAACAAAATGCCTTAGTTTAAAAAATGTATTTCCTATATAGTTTGTTAAAAACACCTAACAAAAATATTTTCAACCATATTTCATTCTGTGTCTATAAACTAGCAATTACTTTCAGACTTTGTGTTGCAATTGGGAGGTTTCATTTTTTTAAAAAACAGTCTTTCCTAGCAATAGGGAAACCACAGGGCTCATAAAGAGAAGGTAGCAATGGGGCAGGGGTGGGCGGAGCAGAGCGGAGCAGACTCTCGCTTGTCTCTAAGCATTATGCGGGCGGTTGCTACACAGGTTTCCAGATCCTGATTTGAATCTCAGGGGCCAGAGCTGTGTGTGTTCCACAAATGGTCCTTTGAAACTTCCTTCCCTTCCTGGCTTGACAGAGCCCTGGATAGCTGGTCTCCGAGAGACAGACACGCTGGTTTGACCTGGATTCTGACCTCCTGTGAAGCACTGTGGACCATTCTTGTGTGCCCAGGGTCTGCCTAGCATACTTCCTCTATTATATTTAGCTCTTTGCTTATTTTCCTAATGAGCTGTCTGTTTGCCTGCAGCCATCCAACCAGAAGACGAATGTGTAGTCATAAACTGCACACGAACACTCAGAGCCTAAAGAGAAGCTCTTCCCACACCGGAGCTTTGGCTGTGGCTGTCCCTGTTTTCCCTTTGGCCCATGGCTGAGCAGGCTAGCTCGAGCTGTCCCCAGCTGTGGGCACACATAATCTTAAACAGTCACCCCTATAGCTGTCTTCAGTCAATTTTCCTACTACGCTAAGCTAGCAAGCCAAGCGCAGGCATAAGATGGCGACACACGGGAGAGAAGTTGGAAATATTTTATCAACCACGTAACCACCACTGACAAATTTAATATGTATCTGTGGCTTTGAACAGTCTTTCTGAACTGTGATTGGGAGGGAAGTAGAAAATGAACCTTGGTTGTTTTGATTTGACTCTCAGATCCTTATGGGCTATTGTCTTCTAGAGTCTGACAGGCTTTTGCTCTCTGAGCTCCTGGAGAAACTAACCCAGCAGTGACAGGGCTCAGTTAATCCTGCTGGGGACCTGGGCCTGACAGTCTGCCTCAAATGAACCATTAGCTTCCTACCACTCCCCCATTGCAGGACTCCAATTAATTAAGAAAATTTATGAGCCCAGTAGTTTGAGAGACTTGAATAACGAAGCCAATTAATGAAGTTCTCTCTTCTGTTGGAGGACAACCTGGAATTTTCGATACACACCAAATACATATGTAGTTATGGTTCACATATGTAAAACCTTGTATGACCCCACCTCTGGAGTCTCCTAAAGTCACACATATATATTCTGATTAGGTTATACATAGACTACATACAAGATAAACATTGGCATTTTTTAAGATCTAGTGATTATAACATAACAGAGTTCTCCATCAACTATACGAAGCGGTATACACTGAAAGATGGAAGAGCTTATGGGCAAGACCTGTCGGGGTAAGGACAGAAGTGCCCACATGGCGGTGTGTAAAGGTGGGACCCTTTTCACTCTAGGCAGCACCACATGGGTAGAAAAGGCTAGCGAAGATTTGGGCTTAATTTAGCAGCTATTAGCAGCTAATGACTGTATGAACACTTACTGCCAAAGAAATATATCACAAAAACTGAGGTCTACTGTGTACCCTGTACCTGCTCATCCTTCTCTGCCCCACAGGAAGGTGCCACAGAGCCTTTGACTTTATGAACATGAGGTCACTGCTCTCAGGAAGGACAGCCCCCATGCCTTGACAAGGACTGTCCTCCCACTGGACAGTCAGGTCTCACCTGGTTTTGCTTGCACCAAAGCAGGCCTAGGTGATAAGACACCTACCTGGTGGCTACATCGAGTCAAAACAGGCACGTGATCTGGGCCCATTTCCCTGGCAGTTTTTAAATGGAAATGAGAGTGGGCAGAAAGACTGTAGGCATTCCAACCCCTTGTCCTCAAGGTCTTTGACACTTTGTGGTGCTCGAAAAGATAAACTGTCCACCCCTCAGGTTGGGAATTCGTTGTTGAATGGGAGTTTGTCTAGCTTCACGCCTGCCTGCCGAGCAGCTAAGAAGGCCGCTCTGGGCTGCCTTTCCCTAGGCAGTCTCCCTTCCACACTCCAGACGGAAGGCCTTCAAAGAAGACCAGTGTTCTCCCCTTTCAGCCTGCCTTCTGTCAGTCACAAAGCAAACAGGGCCTTAGCAGCCGAGAGGGCTGCTCTTTACTAGCTTCTGACTGCGGTTCTATTTGTAAAGCACTTACCAGAGAGGTGAGTCTTTCTGCTCCTCCTTCCCCAGAAGCACACAGTCATTAAGGTTACCTGGAAACCTGGCCAGGAAACATGTGGCAAATAGCAAGCATGCAATAGAAACATCCGCCTTTGTCATCTAATGGAGATGACCCAGCAAGTCATGTTTGCGTAGAGGGCGAATGTGAAATTTAATTGGTTTGCATGTCCTGGCTGTTCCAGGGGCCCTGGCCTAGGCTTCTGAGGAATGGGCTTTGTTCCGAGATCATTCAAAGGGCATTTGGTTGCCACAAGCAAGAAGTGAGTAAGGACTGAGATAGACAACTCAGTACTGCGGATTACCCATGAGGCCGAGGGGCAACAGACACCTGAAGGCATTGCCTCCAATCAGAGACGTGCTGTCCCAAGAGAATGACCTGAGGACGTGTGTGTGTGTGTGTGTGTGTGTGTGTGTGTGTGTGTGTGTGTGTGTGTGTGTGTGTGTGTGCATTTTGGAAGGAAAGTAAGAAACTCTGAGCAGAAACTGTGGGATGCAGGATCATAACCCCAGCCCTTGGGAGGAGGAGGCAGGAGGATCAGAAATTCAAGGTAATACTTGATTAGTAAAGAGCTCAAGGCAAGGGGGCAACAGGAGAGCTTGTCTTTAAAATTAAATATAAAATGGCGCTGAGACAACCAGCGGAGACACCGAGAAGAGAGCTGGGTGCGCAGCGCAGAGCAGGGTGCGCGGCACAAAGCCGGGCACCCGGAGGTCCTGCCAGTGTGTGAGACCCCCTGGCTCTTGGCTTTTCCTCACAGGAAGGGCTTCTGCTGTCTTGAAAATCAGCCCCAGACTTTTCAAAAGAGCTCTCATCTTAAGAAAACAGTTGCCTTAAAATCAAAGAGCTTATTTCTACTGTGTCTCATGTCCCGCCCACCCCTTTCGGTGTCAGATGAGCTGATAACACATATAATTGTAGAGAAGCTGCAAAGTTGTGACTCAGCTGTTTCCTGTGAAGCCTCAGCAGTGGCAGGGACAGGGCTTTAGGAAGCCAGCTGGCACGCAGCCAAAAGCTTGGCTCTAGGAAGGTTTGACACGACCACTTCCGTTGCCTTTGCCCTGTGGTATAGGGTTTTTTTCTGGTCAGCGTGAGGAAGGATGACTGGTGGGCTATCAATTCTGAAAGTTTACTGTTGGCAACTTATTCTGAAGGTTCAGCAGGAGCATAGGACAGACTGAGGGTCAAGGCCTGGGGTTTCCTTGCCGGCTTCTCATTCTGCAGTCATCAGTTTTACCACCCGCATCTGGGCATGAGTCAGTAATGCATGGCCACGAATACTTGAGCAACTGTTAGCGAATTAGAGCCCGAAGATGCAGACAGGAGATCTCCATTATGCAAACAGTCCTCAGGAAGGGAAGGGGCGTGCATAATAAAAAGTCTGGCTGACATTCTATAATCCTCTAATTACATAAATCCAATCAGCCTGAGGGCATGGAGCAACCTCTCAGCTGTCCTGCAGGAGAGTGGGATCCTTCGGACCCTCCCCTGAGAGCTGGGGAAGGTCACAGCCCTACTGGAAGACCATCTTAATTTGTGAGTGGTACCTGACCTTGTTGACTCTAGAAAAGGCAATTAATCGCTTTTTAGAATTGAAATTGGTCTTTTTTTGTGACTTTTCAAACGTTTGAGAGGCAGAAACTTGAAGTCATTATTCAAAGTGGTCATAGCCACGCAGCTGACACACATACAAGTCATTATTCAAAGTGGCCGTAATCACACAACTGAGACACATACAAGTGCTCGGGTGTCACTCAAACCTACTTTGCCCTCGATACCAAAGTCAGATTAAGAGGTGACAGACTGGAGCAATGGCTCCTCTTCCAGAGAGGCTAAATTCAGTTCTGAACATCCATAGTGGCCATTCCCCAGCTGCCCGTGGTTCCACCTTCAAGGGATCCAAAGTGAAGCAACTGCACTCATGTGCTTACACCCACACACAGAAACATTCTATAATTTTAAAAAAAAAATCCCTTTAAAAGTAGTTCTCAGCCGGGCAGTGGTGGTACACGCCTTTAATCCCAGCTCTCGGGAGGCAGAGGCAGGCAGGGCTCTGTGAGTTCGAGGCCAGCCTGGTCTACAAGAGCTAGTGCCAGGACAGGCTCCAAAGCTACACAGAGAAATCCTGTCTTGGAAAACCAAAAATAAATAAATAAATAAATAAATAAATAAATAAATAAATAAATAAAAGCCCTTCCCAACCTTCCTGATGCTGCGACTCTTTATAGGCCCTTCCTCATGCCATGGTGACCCCAACCATAAAATTATTTATGTTATTACTTCATAACTATAATTGTGTTTCTGCTGTGAATTGTAAATACCTGTGTTTTCTGATGGTCCTTCGGGAGTCGCAAGCACTGCTTTAAAAAGTGACCGAGGAACCATGGGAGCATGTGGCAGTGCAAGAGTATTGACAGTGGTTTTCTTCAACAGCCTTTCTGGTCCCCACCGCCCTGTCCTCTCACACAGGGGACATACCTGCACAAACTCAGAGCTCTTTCCTTTTCTTCTACCCCAGTAATTCTCCTGTGAGGAAGAGAAGGGCAGGTGAGCCGACCTCTTCACACGCAGGGCTGTGCAGCACACACAGCCAGTGTCCACATGGGCGCTGTGTTTCCTGTGCACTGAGAGGCGAAGAGAAGTTCAGTTGGACAAAGCTAGGAGTGTTTTCACAAAATGTTTACTTTCTCTCTTTTGCTTCTGTGTTTGCTTGTTCAGTTGTTCATGCAAGATATCATAGTCTTGTGTCTGTTACGTGCCCAGCAAGTGCCCTCAGCCCTGCCCTCAGCCCTGCCCTCAGTCTTCATCCAACTCCCTTAAAGCCAGAACTAAGCAGAGCACCTACAGAGCTCACCACCAGTGAGGACAAGAAGGAGAGAAGGCTCAAGAGAGACTCCAAGAAGGTTCCTACTTTATTCTGTCCCAGAGATTATCCTTTTCCTAAGTAAAAAAACCAAAAACTATATAACAAACACGTGCTCTCTCTCTCTCTCTCTCTCTCTCACACACACACACACACACACACACACACACACAGAGACAGAGACAGAGAGAGACAGAGACAGAGACAGAGACAGAGACAGAGACAGAGACAGAGACAGAGACAGAGACAGAGAGAGGCATACACAGTGTACATACAAATGTCTCTTAGAGAGTCTGTGAAGGCAAACGAGATGGGGGTTTCACAAACTGAAAACTGGCTCTGAGATGAGCAGAGAACTCCTGAGGAACAAGTTAAACAGAATTAGACATGGAGTTTGGGGAACTTCTGGGGGTGTATTTCCCCTTAAATATGAGTAGAGGAACTTGGGGAACAGAGAACTCTAGAGGGAAGCACTGGAGGGAATCACCAACCACAGGACCTGGTAAGCTGCCAACTCCTTCCTGAGCCCAACCTCCAACCCAAGCTGAGTCTCTTGAGGTCTTCCTGGCTGCTGTCACCCAACCTCCTTCTGGATCACTTCCAGCCCTTCTAGCTTTGTTCCTCTCCTGTGTCTAGCTCTGTCCTGTGTCTTCCCCACACTTACCTAGTCTCCTAGACTCTTTGGAGCAGATTGACAGCAGTCAGTCACACACCTGGCGCAGCCATCACTCTCCTCGTGAGCAATCCCCTCTGGGGCTTCCTGCCACGGGAATGGTCTGTGAGTTTCCCCCGGGTTTCTGTACTAGGATGTGCACACGTAGACAGTAGACGCTCCTTTCCCTCCCAGTCACTCTTTCAGTTACCCTAACCATCAACAATATTCCAAAAGTACTAAATCGAAAATTCTAAAAATAAACACCTAGGTTTTAAACTACAGACCCACGCCCTCGAGTCTTGTGATGAAATCCCATCCTGCCCCACACAGTCCAGCCTGTTTGATGAATCATCTCCGCTGTACACGCTCTGTATATGCTACCCGCCCATTCATCAGAATGACTGTCAGATTGCAGGGCTTGACCGTGTTCAGCTCAGCTTTCTCAATTACAGCCCACAAAGTGTAAGAGGAATGACGCCTACAATTCAGGAACTCCAAAGAAGAGCTATGAAATGTCTAAGATAAAAATCTCCACCAATAAGGAAAGAAAGAAATACATGCTGTGGTGCTAAGATCTACCATAACGGTGATCTCCTATCCGTCAAATTGTGAAGGGAGAAAAAGAAGCCTGCACTAGTTTTTCTGTGGCTTCTCAAACTACAACAGACACGTCTACACACATGATAAGGCATATATGTATATATTAAAATGGTGTCTATAGGGCTTAATGCCACCAACAGTTTCAGGCATTCTATGGCGGTCACTCCCCTGCCCTCAAGGCAAGGGCCGAGCAGTGTGTGATATTTGAGACTAACCCGATTTTGAAGGACTGAATGATAAAAGTTTCACACGACAGATCTGTGCCAAGTGTTGCTGGTGGGGGTGGTGAGGTATGCCTTTAATCTCAGCACTCGGGAGACAGAGGCAGGTGGCTCTGGAGGTCAGGTTGGTCGATGTAGCCAGTTCCAAGTCATGCATAGTGAGACCTTATCTCGAAATAAAATTTAAAAAAGAAGGAAATTATGAAATACTCAAAAGCCTTCAGTAAGCATGAGATCAATGGGTGGTGACCTAAAGGTTCAAATAATGGCCCAAGTGAGGGGAAGTGGAATGTCGTCCCTAGTTTACAGAAAGTGCATCTGACTCACTGCAAGTTGCTGAAATTCCGCATGAATTCATGCTGCCTGTAAAAGCCAGGCATCAGCGGTGAGCAACCATGATCTCCGGTCAGTCAGGCAGAAGCACTTTGTTTTCCATTCGGTGGTGACGCCAGCCAGATCCCATTGCTTCTGACAAAGGCCCTCGTCAAACCTGTGTGTCATCGTTTGCGTATGCCACAGCTGCCCCGTGCACGCGCGGACCCACTTCCTGACCCACAGTAACTCTTTGGCTTCCTGACAGACGCGGTCCAGTGCGTCCGTGCGGAGTGCAGCGCCATCTCCTGGACGCTATGGGATAACCTGGAGTGGTTGCAAGGAACACTGGCAGAAATATGGAACCTACACCCAAACAAGTCCTCGAGGCTGCACATGACCCCTTCCTTGCCACAGAATGTGAGGCACATGTGCAAATGTTTATTCATGGTGTGTGTGTGTGTGTGTGTGTGTGTGTGTGTGTGTGTGTGTGTGTGTGTGTGTAAAGGATATGACCTTTCAAAAAGTAGGAAAAGTGACCATCACCACCCTCATTACTGGATTCGTATGAAATTTTACAATTGATAAACTTTTACTTAAGTAATCCCATATAGTTTCTCAGTACTCTGTATAAGCAGAAAGAGCGGAGAGGGGAGGGGGAAGTACCAGATATTGGCTTTTGCTAGTAGAATTACTCATGATTTAGCCACGTCTGAGATGGCAGCTAGGCTCCTTCCTTCTTTACCAAACTCTTTGCTCACTTGCTAAAAAAGGCAGGCTGGCCAAGGATGAGGAGGAGGAGATGAAGTAAAACCCAGGAAACTATGAGGCGTATGAGAGCAAACCTCAGTTATTCCCGAGTCTGGAAGTGGGTCTAGAAAACTCTGGCCAGCAGCAGCAGGTTTGAGTTTTGTCAGGTCCTCTAGCAGATCAGAGATGCACTTACGTCACACCACGAGGCACAATCACATACTGAGGTTTCTGGGGTGAACTCGACGTCTGTTAGAGGGGGCACAAAGGCAAGTAACTGCCTAGGCGCCCTTGGCTCTGCTGTGTGGGCCGTGTGTAAGTCTGGGGCTGTTCTGCGGATGTGGGCAAGCTCACAAGTGAGCTACGCAGTGTCTCCTGCCACTAACTGATGCGGGAGGCCTTGGGGTTCCATGGAATCCTTGAAACTGTTCTGAGATGTCCTGTGCTTCCCAGAGGAGGAGCCGGGAGGGAGGGAGGAGTCAACGGCCTAAGAACACAGCAGGGGCGGAGCGCTCTGGCCAGCTCTGGCTCTCCTTCCTGCAGTGACCCGCTCCTGGGGGCCTGCCAGCCTCTGAACTGCAGTATACTTTGCTACTTGCTTCAAGGCTAACTGTCTCGTTCCGCTCCCCACCACGTAGTAACCGTGACAGCAGCCAGCTCACACTGATCCCAGAGTGTAAACGACGGTGGTTTGAAGACAGGCTTTGCTTGCCTTTGTTGTCAACTTGAATGTCAGACTGAAAAATAGCTGGAACAAATAGTTCTGGGTTAGAGGTCAGGGGACAAACTGGACTCCAGGGCAAAACAAATAAGGCCTCTCTCAGTAGCTTGCAGGCGTGAGCTCACTAACCTGCCCTCAGTGAACAGACTTGGCACGCTGCCTGGCTCACCTTTAAGCAGCCCCAGCAGGCCGGGAAAGCATGGCCTGATGATCCATGTGAGGGTCTGAGCTTCTGCCTGGAAAGCGATGATGCCACAGCACAGGAACGCTCCATGATGCAGACCCGCAGCTGCTGTGGGACGGTTTGGTTCCACGATGCAAAGATGTTGTTGTCACAAGGTCTGTACCATGTCATGAAAAGTGGCAAAGGGACATTATGTTACAATAGTTTGCCTCTGGTGGAACCTTCCGGACAGACTGGCATTGTTTGCAGATTCCAGGATGCAGTTTGAACTTGCTGGGTAATCACAGTGATGTATTTTGTCAAAATCTTTCTCCACAGCTCCAGCTCATGTCTGCCAACACTATGGTTTCCCCATGGAGCTAACAATCCCTAACAGCAAGAAAAACGAACAAGTGCCCGGTGCCAGGTGTGGCTCTAAACTGTCCATCTTAACCCTAAAGCAGTGCTTCTCAACCCGCTAGTGCTGCGACCTCACAGTTCCTCATAGTGCAGAGAACCCCCCACACCACCACCATCACCACCACCACAACAACAAAATTATTTCATTGCTACTTTTTTAACTGTAATTTTGCTACTATTGGGAATCATAATGTAAATATCTGATATGCAGGGTATCTGATATGTGACCCCAAGAGGTCACAACCCACAGGCTGAGAACCAGTACTGTAAAAGGGGCAGGAGTTTGGCCAGGGCTGGGGCATGGGAGGTGGGGGTGTTGTCTCCAGGTGGTTAAGAGAGAGGAATGTGTGCTCTGGTACATCAAGTAGGACTTGGCCCTGGCCTCGCTGGCTGCCTTGGTGAGGCCCACCCCCAGGAGAACCAAGGCCCTGCAGAAAGCAGAAACTGGCTCTGTCTGGGTAGCACAGGTCTCAGGTCCTCAGACAAAAGCCCTTTGTCCAGGAGGTGGCTTCCAGGAGGCCACACCACACCACTCCCCCCCCCCAACTAATCCCCTTGCTACAGATAAGCTTGAAAGCCCTTTCCAGGAGTGAACTTGAAAATGTCCTACATGATAAGAGAAAATCTGAATTCCAATATTAAGAAAATTGTCTATCCCAGCTTGTGAAAGTTTATAAATATGTAGCAAAAGAAGATAAGAACAAAAGGAGGCTTCTTTTAGGCTCATGCAAAACCAAAAAAAAAAAAAAAAAAAAATTTGTCCATGGATCTGACAGTACAGAAGGTAAGTGTTGAAACTCCACACCTTGGCATAAACTCTCCAATGGGCCTTCTGTGCCACCACACCCGAATTGTTCAGGGCTAGGCTCCATCTCGGCCTCTGCACATTAAACAAGCACCCACTTGACAGCGTTCCACACCCATCCACAATGATAGTGTCTTCGTGTTGGAGGTAACCAGTATACTGAACTCTTAGCCATTCAGTTTTACTATAAATTTAAAATTGTTCCAGGTTTTTTAAAATTTTCTTATCTAAAGTAAGCAGTTTTTTTGAGTGTTGAGATTTTCTTATTCATTTCTTTGTTATTCTATCTTCCTACATGCTACTCTCATTTGTGTATCACTTTAATAATCAGAAAAGTAAAAATAGTTTTAAAAGCCTATCTCTTCCTGGGACAGGAACAGACTCAAGATTCCTCTGCTCTCCTAAAGACAATGGGAATAACTTACTAGGTTAGTCTTTTTTATCATTATTATTAAATTAATTTATTTTATATCCCCACGGAAGTTTCTCCTCCCTCCTCTCCTCTTATTCCCTCCCCCACTTCCCCTCTGGCCTCCTCACTCCATTCCTCCATTTCTGTTCAGAAAAGGAAAAGCCTCCCATGGATATCACCACAATATGGCTAATCAAGTTGCAGCAGGACTAAGCACTTGCCTTGTATCAAAGCTGAGCAAGACAAGTTTCATGATGTCATTGTTTTTACCAGCTGAGTAATACCCCATCATGTAGACGTCACACATTTTCTTTATCCATTCTTCAGTTGAGGGAAAGCTAGGTTGTTTCCAAGTTCTGGTTATTACAAATAAATCTGCTAGGAACATAGATGAGAAAGTATCCTTGTGGTATGATTGTGCATCCTTTGGGTATAGCTAGGCCTTAAGGTCCCAATTTTCTGAGAAACCACCATGTGGGCAGAGTTTTCCTGTCCTGCAGCAGCTCTCAGATAAACACACTGAGTCATATATTAACTAAAAATGCTCGGCCAATAGCTCAGGCTTATCACTAACTAACTCTTACATTTTAATTTAACCCATATTTCCTATTTATGTTTTGCCACATAACAATATCTTCTTTCAACACGACAGGATCCTCTCCTACTCCCTCTGTATCTGGCTCACAGCTCCAAACTCTGCCCTTCTTACTCCCATCATTCTCCTAGTCTGGCTCTCTTACCTACCCTTATTCTGTTCAACCCCTCAGTGTCTTTATTAAACTAATCATAGTAACATATGTTCACATGGTGTAAAGGGATATCCCGCAGCACCACCATATTGATGTCCAAAGTGGCTGTACAAGTTTGCACTCCCACCAACAGAAGATGCTCCACACCGTCTCCAGCATAAGTTGTCATTTCTGTGGGTTTTTTAAGATTTTTTTAAAGAGTTATTTTTTAAAGATTTATTTATTTATTATGTATACAGTGTTCTGGCATGTATGCCTACACACCAGAAGAGTACACCAAATCCCATAATAGATGGTTGTGAGCCACCATGTGCTTGCTGGGAATTGAACTCAGGACCTCTGGAAGAGCAGCCTGTGCTCATAACCTCTGAACCATCTCTCCAGCCCTAAGATTTATTTACTTATTATGCGTACAGTGCTCTGGCATTTATGACACCAAATCCCATTAAAGATGGTTTTGAGCAACCACATTGTTGTTGGGAATTGATCTCAGGTCCTCTGAAAGAG